GTGTGTCCAATGGCCAAGGACAATGGCAACTGTAGTTCAACAACATCTGGAGGGCAAAAGGTTCCCCACACCTGCTCAAACACCACCTCACCCAGGGTGTTCCTAGGTGGGCTTGCTGGTAAAGTGGGGGGAAACAGGAAATGGCCCCGTAGAAAAGTGGTGGTGGTGGTGGTGGTGGTAGGGAAAGGGATTAAGCACCCCTGCTTTTTAACCGCTACTTCTCTCGTACAAATAGCCCTCTCCCCACTGCTTCATTACACATAGGCAGATAATGGAGCTGGGAATCCGTAAAAAAATGTTCTTTCTGTTTATTTTAAAAAATACTTATAAACTGCCATTCCCCAAAGTTTCACGCAGGTAACAACCATAAAAATGACAGCACTAAAAACAAAAACAGGGCAAGATTAGTGGCTTGCATCAAATTCATAGCTTTGCCAACTGTGACACAAAAAGTGGATTCACAAAACTGTTCGTTGTGGTGACCACAGACATGGAGTGCCACTTCACCATATATATAGGCTGTGTTCTGAGGTAATTTTACCTCAGGACCTGATTATAAACACCACACGGTGTAGGGGCAAAAGTCACCTCACAACAAGGCTTCAGAAGACAGTTTACTGGAGCTTTCTGTGGTAGATCCCCAGCTTCTCGGAACAAAGATTGCTTTGAACTGAACTGAAGTGTGCATTTCGAAACGTTTGTGTTTTTCTTTCATCCAAGGGCTCCATGAGGAGTTAGGAATTGCTCATGAAGTAGCTTGCCAGAGCTTCCCTCACCAGGCTCCCATCCCGTGCATCCTCTGGGGACGTTGGGAGCCTCAAGTGTCCCTCAGGGGCCTGGTCCCACACGCCATCTTGGGCCCAAGGCCCGTCCACCAAAGCATGTCCACGATTCTCGCAAATATTGTGGAGCACGACGGACCCCACCACCACGGGGATAATGTTCTCTTCGGCCACCTCCAAGCGGGTGGCCAGGCACCTCCACCGTCCCTTCAGCCGCCCAAAGGCCTCTTCGGCCACCTTCTTGCAGTCCCTTAGGCGGGAGTTGAAATGTTCTTGGCGGGGGCTGAGGTTACCAGTGAAGGGCTTCATGAGCCACTTCTTCAAGGGGTAGGACGCGTCGGCCAAGATGAGCGGGGGGATCTCCACGTTGCCAATGGTCATTGAATGAGTCCCTGGTACGAACGACCCTTGGTCCATCGCCTCACACAGGGCTAGGTTTCGGAAGAAGGAGGCGTCCTTATCTTTACCGCACCAGCTGAGTTCGATGTCAATGAAGCGGCCCTTGTGGTCCACCGTGCCTTGCATTGACATAGGGAAGAACCCCTTTTGGCTGATGTTGGTCCCCTTTCGGACAGTGCAGATGATGGGGATGTGGGTCCTGTCCATGACCCCCACACAGCTGGGAAACCCCATTTCCTCAAATCCTGCCATGACCTTTCAAAACAAAAAGATGGAAGAATTAGAAAGCCGATCGACCCATCATCATCATCCAGGCCAGGCTTCCTGAAACAGGTGCTAGCCAGGTGTTTTGTACTACATCAGCCCCGGTCAGAACTTGGAATGATGGGACTTGGAGTCTTAAACATCTAGTGGGCATCAGGTTGCTTTGGGAGTCGTCTGAATGAAAACTGGCATAGAAATATAATCAATCAGTCAGTCCCAGAAAAGGAATACGTAGTAGATAAAATGTACCCTCTTTCCTCTTACATTTTCAGCACAGATTTGAGCTGGTTCTAAACAGCTCAGTGGTGGTCCTGTGGGGTGGTAAAAGCTTTCTAGGAAATGATATATAATGAGTTAAAGAAAATGTTTAACAAAAGTTTTGTTAAAAAACCAGAGGCTTTTCTCTTATGTATGATAGGTGAGGAACTACCAAAATAAAATAAAAGACTATTTATGTATGCAACGACGGCAGCAAGAATGCTTCTAGCCCAGAGATGGAAAGAAATAAGTACTGACCAGAGAAGAGTGCGGACCAAGCCGATGGAATATGCAGAAATGGCAAGACTGGCAGGAAAGATGAGAAACCAGGAAGACCAAGCATTCTTAAAAGATTGGAGTAACTTTTTAATATACTTGAAAGACAACTGTAGACAGTTGAAATCATTGGCAGGAATACAATGACACTTGTAAAGTGAAATGAACTTTGGTTACTGTGATTATATAATAGATAGATAATGGTAAACGATGCAGGAAAAAAGAAAAAGAAAAAAATCTTTAGAATGGAACCCATGGAAGGAGGGAAGGAGGTTGGAAGATTCGAAAGAACCTTCGAATCTTTTTGTTTTGGAATGGTTATCGTTATTGTGTATAACTTTATGTAAAACTAATAAAAATCTTTATAAAACAGAAAAGAAAAGGAATAGTAGAAAGAGAGAGAGAGAGAAAGAAATGTCAACACAACAATAAATAAACAAATAGAACAAGAAGAACCTATGTTTAAAGAAGACTGGAAAGTGTTTATTGAATAGATGGGAAATAATTGTGTGCAGCTAAAAAGGCTGGCAGCATTAAGATATATTCAACAGTAAATAAGTTTTGATAGGTGCAGTAATGGAATACTGAATGGTATAGTTTTTGTAAAACATGCAGGGGTTTATGATATCTAAAGTGAACCATGGAAAGAGAAGAAAGGAAGTCATTTAATATCTTAAGGGTGTAACATGAGTATTTTAAATTGTAAAACAGAAAATTTAATAAAGAATTCACACACACACACTAAACAAACAAACAAACAAACAAAGTAGTAGTAGTAGTAACAAAGGGAGGGGGAAATTCAAGTACATAAATAAAAATAAAAATACCATCACCTCTTTGGGGTCCTCGAGGGCCACCACCTTCCTGAAGAGCAGCTTCTCGATGGCCAGGCACACCTCGATGAAGACCTCCCCGACGGTGGAGCGCCCCACCCCGAAGTGCGCGGCCACGGAGCGGTAGCACTCGGTGGTGGCCAGCTTCCAGAGGGCGATGCCCACGCGCTTCTCCACGCTCAGCGGCGCCCGCATGGTGGTGGTCTGGCGCTGCAGCTCCGGCCGCAGCTCCTCGCACAGCGCCAGGAAGGTGTCCTTGGTCATGCGGAAGCCCTGCAGCCACTGGCTGGGCTGCCACGTCTCCAGCACCACGCGCTCCCACCAGTCCTGGCTCACCTGGCGCGACCAGAAGCGGTGTGGCCCGGCGTGGAGCTCCTCGGCCACCAGGCGCGCCTCGCTGTCCGGACACGCGTCAGGCAGCAGCTGGTGCAGCAGCGAGACGTGGTTGGCCATCACGCGGCGCATCGTCCGCCGGGCGCGGGCAGCCACGCCGCCCCGGTGCAGGTGGAGGCGCACCAGGTTGTGCGTGGCCAGGATCACCAGCACGATGGCCTCCAGGTTCTCCATTCGCACGAGAATTCGCGCAATCGTTTATTTGGATGGTGATGACAGAATCGAGGGCAGCTGCGCTGGGTAGCTCGGTCAGTAGAGCAGGAAGTGCTTGATCTCAGGGTTGTGGGTTCAAGTCCCACAGTGGGCAAAAGATGCCTGCATTGTCAGGGGTTGGACTGGATGACCCTAGGGGGTCCCTTTCAAAATTGCAATTCAATGATTCCCCTTCCAGTTTTTTGCGACGACTTGCACAAGCTTCTCCAAAACGGCTCAAAATGGCCCAAAGCGCTTCAAAGCAAGCATCGCGGGCAGGGGCGGGCAGAAAGCCTGCAGAAATGTTGATATAAGAAGAAGAAGCGGATTGTTTTGCACCCTGCCGGAATGGCTGAAAGCGGCCTACGAGTAGATTTAAAAACACAACTAAAAAAAGAGAGAGAGAGAACTCGGAAGAAGAAGAAAAGGGTCGTAAAATGCCGTGGCGAAGTCAATCCATGACGAATTCTGGAATTTTTGGCATTTTGCAATTCGCAAAGTCAAACTTCCAAGGCGGAAAAGCAGCAATGGAAAGGCCGGAGGTTTCGGCTGCAGCGCGATGTCAGCCCTCGCCGTAGATCGTGGAAACCAACGTTGCAAACTGATTTTTCTCCAAGGGGAAAAAAGAATATAAATAAAACGGGGTGCAATCCAAGCATTTCTGTAAAATCATAAGATCGAGGCGCTGCAACGAAGCTCGTCTTCTTTGCCTCCCTCCCCCCTTCCCGCGAGCCTTCCTCCCGCTTCTGTCTCTGGGCGTGCTTCCCCTTCTTCTCCCCCGGTTGCCAATGTCTAGCTAAAGGCTATTGAGAGCCTAAAGGGTTAAAGCGACAGAGCTCTCCCCTCCGACACTAGACGGTGCCCACGATTCAAGGGGAAAGCGCCTCTCCATGGCAGGTGCCGGTGCGCGTGCGTGTGTGTATTGGGATGCCATTCGCCTAGGTTCCACTAGGGGGCGCCTTCTGCAAAGAGTCCCTGTGGGCTGTGAAGGCGGATATCCCAGAAAGTGGGAGAGGAGTCACATCAACCCCAGGAGGGATTGAAGATGGTGGAAGAGCCCCCACCTCAAAGTATTGGCTTATTTTCTTGAGTTTAGATCCCACCACCCTTCCATTTTAGGGATACACAAACACAGACACGCGTACGTAAAGGTTAAAACCACCGAGTTCCTTTCCGATTCCTGGAGAGACCACGATACAGAGTCGCGGGAATGTAGTTTAAAACACCAAGGGCTACAGTTTTCATGTTGTTCAAGTGGCAATTCCGATTGCATAGGAACCCGTGCGAAGAGCGTGTCTCTGTGGCGCTTTGGCTTTGAAATAATCTCGCTCCCTAAACACACGCAAAATAAAATCAAGTTTCTAGCAATTGTGGAACCTGAGATACGAGGCAAAATGTACGGGCACTGTCCTCATTTTGTGGGGCGAGAAATTGGCCGGCTTCCCCTTTTCAGTACTGCCTCCACCCTCCAAAATCCCTGCAGATGCCCCTTGAGCACTCACTGCTTCTTCACCCGAAGCTGTTTCCAGACTGCGAATATTTTGCAGTGTGTGGAGGGGGAAATTCAGTTACATACCTGCAAATTCAGGGTGCACAATTAAAGTTGGATTTGGCGCTGTTCAGCAACAATCCCACTCACCCCCGGCAGATATTTTTACAATAAGGAAATCGAGTGCAAAACACACTGGGATGTGTGGGGATAACGCGTTGACCCGGCGGCGAATGACAGGCAGAAATTCAACCGGTGCCACCCCTTTTAGCCACCCTCAAATGGAGGGCTCTGCTTGGGAACCTGAAATGAAGATTGGGTGGAACTCTTGGGTTTCCCCCAGTGCATTTTTTTTGCAGTGAATAGATTACTGTACAGTATCTGAGAATTCACTTCCTGCCCAACCACCCACATCACTCAACCCCCACTTGACACCCTCCCCCCGCTGGTGGCAAACTGCCTTTTGAATTACTTCTCTTTTTGAAGCTTGGAGGAAGACACAGGGGAGCTGCAAGGAGCAGATTTCTTCAGCCAGGAGGATAAGTGCAGCTGTCAAGTCTGCAGGGAAAGGTGAATTTAAAGGGGGACATTGTTGTTAAGAAGGAGCGAGGCAGTGGCAGCAAGATCAGGGAGGGAATAAAACTGCAGGAGGGGCCGGGTGGACCGAGGCAGGGCTGAGGAAACCCAATATTGTCTACTCTCCAGTGGGTCTCCAGAGGTTCAGACAGCAGCTTTCTCTGCCCTGCCTGGAGACTCCTGGGATTGCATGAAAAGCAGATGCTCTACCATTGAGCTACAGCCTGCTCTTAGAAACGTTGGTCCATCTACCTTTGTGTTGTCCACACTGACTGGCAGCAGCTGTCCATGCTCTCAGGCAGCCCTACCTGGGGATGTCAGAGGTTGTACTTGGGACCTTATGCATGTAAGCTGATCCCCACACCACCAAGCTGAAGAACACAGGGCTCTGCATTTTATAGAGTCAGAAAATTGCCCCTACTATCTTAGTATAGTCCACACTGACTGGCAGCAGCTCTCCAGGGTTTCAGACAAAAGACCTCTCCCAGCAGTACCTGGGGACGGAACCTTGGACCTTCTGCATATACCATTGAGCTGCCCTGCACTTCCCAGTTTATCCTCTCTTCCAAATCTTAAAACAAATAATAAAGCAAACATGCCCAAAGGAGTGATTGTGGAAAAGTTGAGAGGTGACACAGTTATATACTTTGGGAGGTTGCTATAGAGCAGAGGTGGATTAGCTTGAGGCTTATGTGACCTACTTTGTTTCCCCCCACTAGATTCCCCAAGACCCACTCACTGGAGCCAAGTGTGAAAAAGAATTCTGAGCCTATCCATCACCACATGAAAAGACTCGCTGCAGGCAATTCCCTGGAATTTGCAATTCTAGAGACCAGGAATGTCTGGACTGTGGCTGCATTAAAATTGATTGTTCTGAGTGAGGTGGAAAGCTCATTTGTGAACATTATTATAATTAACAATTAGTCGCTGTTCTCAGAAAGGTGAATGCAAGGCAACTTTCAAAAAGGATATTCTCTTGTGCATCTATTTCTCTCTTCCTCCTACCTCCCTCAAAACCCCCTTTAGCAGAAACACCTGTCTGCAACACCTTCAGTTTCTATGCTTTCCTGGAGGACTCATTTACAGAGAGATTCATGGACCTTGAGGAGTGACTTTAGATGAAGAAAGCCCACCAGAGGCTGGGAACGCCTCCTCACATCTGAACAGTTCAATGGAGACCTTGAGAGTGGAGGTGAACATGTCTGTGGATGAAGGGGCAGCAAAGACCCCAGGATTGCAGAAGGGAGAGCACAACACCCCCAACGTCAAATTGTGGACAGATCTGGGGGGAACAAAAGCCCCACACCTTGCATGCATCAAGGGGATTGGAGAATCACAAGCTATGGTCTATCCATGGCAGGTGAAACATGAACCAGAAGAGGAGCTTCAGGAATGCTGGGAAGCCCAGTGGCAGGAGTTCCTCAAGACGTTGCAGGCCCCTCACTCAGGATGGGGGAATCATCAGGTATCAGAGGGGCCCTCCCCATGGGAAGATGCTAAGGCCTTCCTGGCCTCCTTTGAGCAAGTAGCCTCAGCCTGCCGGTGGCCTCTGGACAAGTGGGTGACCCTCCTCTTGCCAGCCCTCAGCGGAGAGGCTCAGCAGGCCTTCAACAGCCTCAGTGCCCAGGACAGGGGAGACTACGGGAAGGTGAAGGCGGCCATCTTGCAAGGAGAGTCCACTTTGAGGGAGAAGCAGCGCCAGCACTTCAGGCAGTTCTGCTACCAGGAAGTGGAGGGGCCCAGAGGCGTTTACGGCCGGCTGAGGGAACTTTGCCGCCAGTGGCTGAGAGCGGAGAGACACACCAAGGAAGAGATCTTGGAGCTGCTGATCCTGGAGCAGTTCCTGACCGTCCTGCCCCAGGAAATGCAGAGCTGGGTGAGGGAAAAGGGCCCAGAGACCTGCACCCAGGCGGTGGTTCTGGCAGAGAATTTCCTGCTACAGCAGAACACGGTGAAACAGGAAGGAGAGGTGAGGGGAGTTCGATGAGGGTCATACTGCTGGTCCTGGAATGTGGATTCAGGAGAGAGCTGATACTTTAACATTTGTAATTTTTGATGGACAACAATTCTGTCGTCCCCTGTTGTCTGTAGTGTATCACTGTCCCAGAAAAGACACCCATCCTCTCTGATTTTAGTGGCTTAGCAAAAGAGGGCAGGAGAGAGATTATTGTGACAAGAGCTAAGAGCAGCGCCAGCTTCTTCTGCTTTGTGCCACAGTGTCCCACCTAGGAGAGGAATAAATCCCAGGCCAGCCCACCTGGCTGTGCCCCTGCAGGGGTGTCCATGTCTCCTGCCTGGGGCCCAGAAATCTAGAGTTGAGGAGGAGATGGGAAGTACTAGCATGTCTGGGAGCATCTTCTCCTGTCCTGAATGGTTTTTCTGATTGCTGTTTCAGGGGCTGTGGCCCTTGGGTGTGGGACTGGCTGTGAATCCCTCGGAGGCAGGCTTGGTTCCACCACCAGAGGCCTGGGAAAGGCAGTCATTCAAGGAGCTCAAGCAGGAGCAAGATGAAGAGGCAAGCTTGTTTGGTAAGGATTCATTGTAATCTAATTGCTGGATGTTAACACGCTGGGGGTGAAGACTCATTCCTATTTCTGTAGCAGAGTCCCTGTCTCCAGCATTCTAGAGCTACCTGATGAGCATAAAAGGGGAGCTTTTTAACGACTGACCAGAATTTGATGGCTTTGTTAATCTGGGCCATGACTCAGTGGCAGAATTTCTGCTTTACATCAGAAGTTCTCAGGTTTGGTTCCCAGCATTGCTACATACCACAAGCTAGCTATGCAAGTGTTTGGATTTTGTTCAGATTAAGGTCTTTTCTGAAATAAAAATTGATTCAATTTAGACTATACAGTCATACCTTGGGTTACAGACGCTTCAGGTTGCACGTTTCCAGGTTGCACACCGCGCCGAACCCGGAAGTACTGGAACGGGTTACTTCTGGGTTTTGGCGCTCACACATGCGCAGAAGCGTCATATTGCGACCTGCGCGTGCGCAGATGCGGCGCTGTGGGTTGTGAACGCTGCAGGTTGCGAACGTGCCTCCCGCATGGCTCACGTTCGCAACCTGAGCGTCCACTGTAGAACCCTTTGTTATAATAGTCCATACATCCTTCCCTTCTTAGTATGTTTTGTTATTGACTCAGTAAATCACATGCTTTTTTACTGGCAATTGTGACAACTTACAATTTTTAAATCAATTTTTATTCCATTTATTCCCCTGTAACCTGTTGTCATGATTATTACTTCGATTTATATACTCCCCGTTATCAAAAGATCCTAGGGCAGTGTACAGCATTAAGAACACATTTTACAGAGCATCAATAATAAAAGCATTATAAAAACACAATAAAAAGCATAGCACTAGACAGCATAATACTAAAATAAACATAATAGCAGTCCCCCCTCCCCCTGGTTTAACAGGCCACGGATTATTTAAAGGCAAGGTACCTGGGTAAAGATGAATGGGTTTTCCTGGTGCCTAAAGACAAATAACGATGTTGCCAGGTGAGCCTTTCTGGAGAGAGCATTCCACAGTCAGGGAGTCATTATTAAAATGCAATAAACAATTACTTATACAAGACATGTGACTCTGTTTATTCCTGCAGGTGATGGGCAGGTACATGAAAACCAACTTGATAATCTTCAGCAGGGTGATTCTGAGGTACCAGCAGATGCATCACTGCAAGGAGATGACAACTTCCATTATTGCAAAGAGGGAGGAAGCCTTGGGAGTCAGGAGGGACTGGAGAGCAAGTGGAGAACCAAACCTGAGAAGTCCTCAGATGAAGCCGTTCCTGTCCATGAAGGTAACTTAGAACAGGAGGAAACCGGAGTCCACCCCAAAATCCACCGCTGTCATTGTGGAAAAAGTTTCCGCTGGAGCTCAAATTTCAGGGTCCACGAGAGAATCCACACTGGAGAGAAGCCGTATAAGTGTGCCGAATGCAGGATGAGTTTCCGTAAATCTGCACAGCTCAAGGCCCATGAGGGAATCCACACTGGGGAGGTGCCCTTCCGGTGTTCCATGTGCCAGAAGAGTTTTACAAGTGGCTCAAACCTCGTTGCCCACGAGAGGATTCACACTGGAGAGAAACCGTACAGGTGTACGCACTGCGGGAAAAGTTTCCGCCAGAAAGGCACCCTCACGACACATGAGAAAATCCACATTGGAGAGAAACCTTTCAAATGCTCAATCTGCGGGAAGAATTTCCGCCAGAAGGGCACATTGAGGACGCACGAAAAGATCCACCTGGGACAGAAGCCATATAAGTGCTCCGAGTGCGGGAAGAACTTCCGGACCTCGGCGGACCTGAGAGTCCATGAAAGGATCCACACTGGAGTGAAACCATATCAGTGTGCCGTGTGCCAGAAGAGTTTCACCGACGGCTCAAACCTCATTACCCACGAGCGAATCCACACGGGAGTGAAACCATATCAGTGTGGGCGCTGTGGGAAGAGCTTCTGTCAGAAGTCAGGCCTTATGACACACGAACGAGTTCACACCGGGGTCCTCCCTTACAAGCGCCCGGTCTGTCAGAAGGGTTTGGCCGGTGGCGCAAGTGGAAGCTCGTGTCAGGAAACAAATCCCGGAGACAAATTGCATATGAGTGCTGATTGTGGGGAGGGCTTCAGTGACATAGGGCATGTGAGAAGAGAAGAGCCAAACATCAGAGAACAGCCGTATGGGCTATTGGAAAAGAGTTCGGATGGAGCATCGTCCTTCTGACACTAGAGAGAATCCAGAACGCAGGGAAGCCATTTGTGTCGACAGAGGTGGGGAACCTGTGGCCCTGCAGATACTGCTGAACTACAAATCCCATCATCCATACCAACTGGGTGTGGTGGGAGTTGGAGTCCTGCAACATCCAAAGGACCACAGGTTCCTCACTACTATGTTAAGGCTTTGTTAAAGGGTTAGGTCAGCCTTCCCAACCCAGCACCCTGCAGATTAAACTCCATTCAGCCCCTGCAACCATGGGCAAGAGTTGGGGATGATGGGAGTTGTGCTCCAAGAACTTATAGAGGGTACCAGGCTGTGGAGGCCTGGTCAGTAAGGCAGGGTTGGGAAACCTGTGGCCATTTAGATGGTGCTAGACTACAGACTTCCCTCTGCCCCAGCCAATAGTCAGAGGTGGCCTGGAGAGCCCACGGTTAACGCCTTCCTGCCACAAGTATTTGGAGCTTGGCTATGAGATAAGTTGCATCAGTGCTCTGACTTTGGAAGAAGCTCCCAATGAACAACTGATGATGAGGAAGCCTGAAGATGAGTATCTGATCTTCATAAAACTCACAGTGAATCCCCAAAGATTTGGAGCCCTTAAACCCACACAGAGTGGATCTGCTTAATCAGACTACAGAATTTGCTGAATGTTTACACAAGAGACGAACTTTGATATTAAAGAAAGTGACTAAATTTCAGTGAGATGCTTGCATGCTAGTGTTAGGACTATGTAAAACCGGGAAGAAGCATTGACAGTAACTAGCATTTTCAAGTTTCTAATTCATGTATTATTGTCTTAATAGGGAATTGTGTGCAATGAACTTCTTTCTGCCTGTCTTGGCTTGGGGTGGGGGGCGAGGATCCCTTCCACCAGGAGCCCATGTAGGTGGTATGAGCCGGAGAGCACTTACATCCACCCAGCCACAGACTGGACCTGAATTGGGAACAGTACCCATGGAGGCTGGCCAGTTAAGGCAAATGGAGCCCACCAGCCTCAGTTTGCCCTCATCCAGCCGTCACCAACCCACCTTCCTTATTACAGCCAGTCCAGTGGATAGCCCTGGCTGTCAGCACTCTCCTCCTCAGTTTCAGTGTTGTGAATCTAGAACTCAGCAAGGAGGAGGACAAAGCAAAGCTAGAATTACTGGTAATTGGCTGGGCCAGTCATTGTCTCTGATGCACCTAGTGTTGGGCTCCCTGCTTCCTGCCACACCAGTCCCAATGAATGCCAGCCACTACCAACCAGTATTTATAAACTTTTTTTCATAACCTATTAGGATTTAGGGGTGAGCACCATAGCTGTCAACTTTTCCCTTTTCTTGCGAGGAATCCTATTCTGAATAAGGGAATTTCCCTTAAAAAAAGGGAACAGTTGACAGCTATGTTGAGCACTGAGGTGGCAAATTTCGCTGATAAAACCAAATTGTTTAGGGTGATTAAAAACAGAAAGGGACTGTGAAGAGCTTGAAAATTATTGATCCAAACTGGGATCAATTTACACTGATGGGATCTGAGCTGTCTATGACTGGCAAGGAATGGGACCTTGAGGTCGTGGTGGAAAGTGCAACGAAAATGCCAACCTAGAGTGAAAAAAAGGTAAATTCTATGCTAGGAATTATTAGGAAAGGAATTGAAAATAAAACTGCCAATGTTGTTATACAAATCTATGATGGAAAAGGTTCAGAAAAGCGAAACTAAAGTGATCAAGGGGGTGGAGCAAGTCCCTTATGAGGAAAGGTTATGATGTTTGGGTCTTTTTCATTTAGAAAAAAAAGGCCCTGGGGGGAGCGCAATACAGATATATAAAATTATGCACATTGTGGATAGAGAGAAGTTAGCTCCCTCTCTCATAATGTGAGAACTTGTATTCATCCAAAGAAGCGGAATGTTGGAAGATTCAGAAGTGGCAAAAGGGTTAAGTTCTCCACCAACTTGGACTGCTTTAAAAGGTGGGTTGAATTCATGGAGGATAAACCTGTCAGTGGCTTAACCAGTCATGGCTGTTTGGTACCTCTAGAATCTGAGGCAGTATATGTCAGTGAATACCTGTTGCCGAGGGAACAAGAGTGAGAGGCGCCTGATTGGTCACTGTGGGAAATAGAATGTTGGGCTATATTGAGCTAGCAAAGGCTCTTCTTATGTTCTTAGCCCATTCAACCCTTACCCAGCTCTGAATTTCTGGCAACAATGGTGCATTCCGTATGCTGTATATGGAAATGTGTGTTATTTCCTTGTGTTTAAAACTAAAAAATAAATATGGCCCATTCTCAAGCTAAATTTTCTTTTCTAGAAAATTTACTGAAGCGCTCTTGTTGCCTCTGATTTTTAAGGACAACCTGACAGAGGCAAACAAAGTGTCCCTCAGGGCTAGTTCTTACCAGGTAAACCTATGTCAGTTTGTTTATTTTTTAAATTTCTATACTACCCTTCATCAAAAGCCCATTGGATAGTGTTTTGGGTTTACACCCACACCTGCACCCACACACCACACAATCCTTAAATTATTTGTAAATCATATGAAATTACAATAAGAGCTATAAAAACATCAATACATACTGGTTGGTGAAAATTGCAATGCTTTGTCTCAATAACACTGCTTCTAGGAGATGTCTAAGAGAAGACAAAATGATTCCTGCTGAACCTCTACTTAGCAGGGAGTTCCACAGGGCAAGGCCTGCCACACTGAAGGCTCAGTAGAGGCATCCATCCATCTTGGGAGATGATGAAGGAGTGCTCCTTTGAGGGTGAGGTCAAGCTGTTGGAAGGTTGCAGCTCCTGTTGTGGCTCTAGAGATGATATGGGAGAGACATGTTTTGTTGCAGCTGGGGAAGATGAAGACGTCCAGTTGTGCTGTTGCAGATGCACCCATAGTATTTCTTTGCACTCCTCCCAGCCGTCATTTCTCCCCTGATCATTGCTATGGATACACAACTTGAATGTCTGTCTCCAGGCACTGCAGTCTTCTGCAAGCGATTCCCACAGCGGGGCAAAAGGGAGCATATACGCCATATATATGACAACCATTGTCAGAAACTCAGATATATAAGCTAGGTGCCAAATGACTCCTTAAACCAAGGTTACAGTCACCAGAACAGAATGTCTGCTTGCCATTTTTTCAAATGATGGACCGACACTGGTTGATTCTCAGATAAACATCTGACTAGTTCAGATGACAACTTTGAGCTAGGTTAAGAACACTGAGAATTTAAAGAAGAAAAGTTACTTGATCCAGGGACAGTCCACGTATATATTTGCCTATTCCTACCTCTTTTTCTTAATGGTGACACGGACCATTCATAACATGAGAATATTCTTCACAACTGTGGGCAGGGCAGTGGGGTGGGGTAAATGAAGACAAGCTACAACAATTAACTATAATATTGTTTACTGCTCCTGTGCAGGCTGCACAGGGGGGGGGATCATTCTTATTGTTCAGATAGAATTTATCTGATACAATTCTACAGGATGTGGTATTAGTGTGTGAAAACTGAGGATCCAATGATCTGATGATGCAGATGTCAGGCAAATAGCCAAGTGCGAAATGTGTCTGTTGCCTGGCTAAATCCTTATCAACACACACACACACACACACAGAGAGAGAGAGAGAGAGAGAGAGAGAGTGTTTCATGAGTTTGTGTATGAGTAGGCAGAGATCCAAAGGAAATGAAATACAGGAAAGTGCACAGATTGTTAGGCCATTCATAGCAGCAGCTCAAAAACAAAAACAAACCAGTTCCAAGTTCACATAGCTAAGATGCAGCTGCAACATGTGCTTTTTGAAACAACCGATAGGGATGGGGGAGGCTTCCAAAAAACAAGATACATTCAGCCCAGCCTCTCCACCCAGAAAGCAGCTGAAGGGTTAAATCCTTAGAATTCCACTCGGATTCCTAGGAAGGCCTGGAAACCTGAGAAATCTGATGCACTGCAAACCCCAAAGGGCTGCAGTTTTTATGGTTCTCTAGCAACATTTCTGATTCACAGTTGCAGTTATACAAGAAACCCCTATAGGGAAAAGCGCTGTCAGATTTGACATTTTCTTATTCATTTTTATTTTGAATATTTTTTTTATTAAAAAAAAGACATTTTCTGCTCGTTCTTCCCATGCTCAAGAGGAATCAGGGGGGTAAAAATAATTTGGTGTATGCGTAAGAAAAATCCTGGACATAGGACATAGGCCACCATAGTCCAGCACCCTGTTCTTACGGTGGCCAGATAGATGTTGCACTGGGAAGCCTGGACGTGAGCCCAACAACCAAGCCCTCCCTCCCTGTGATTTCCAGCAATTGATATTCAGAGGCGGAACAGAGCCCTCCCAAGCTAGTAGCCATTGCAATAGTGGCTGGTGCTCCCTGGGGAAGAAGGCAGGGAGCCAAAACAGCAGCCGAAGCCACTGACAGGCAGAGGCAACTAGTTCTAGTTTTGTCCCTGGTCCTCTTCTCTGGTGAGTTGCACAAGTGCAACACTGAGACTGAACGGCAGGACCAACCCCTGGACTGGTTATGCATTAAGAAGGCAGGCAGGTGAGGACTGGCAGACCGAGACCATTATCCCCAATGGATTTTATTTATTTATATTTACTGCATTGACGGTATCCCACCTTTTTCTCCAAGGAGCTCAAGGAGAGGGGGCACCACACGGTTCTCCCCCTCCTCATTTTATCCCCACAACAACCCTGTGAGGTACGATCGGCTGAGAGAAGGCTGTGGCTGGCCAAAGGTCTCTCAGTCAGCTTCATGGTTCAGTGGGGATTTGAACCCAGGTCTCCGAAGGTCCTAGTTTGACGCTCTAACCACTACGCAACACTGGCTCTCTGATATCGCTATTTCATATTTCAAAAAGATAATGAGGTGGTTTGCAACAAAGACACACAAAACCATACAGTGAAAACCATGAAAAAATGAAAGCAATAATCAATTACAGTGGTACCTCGGGTTAAGTACTTAATTCGTTCTGGAGGTCCGTTCTTAACCTGAAACTGTTCTTAACCTGAGGTACCACTTTAGCTAATGGTGCCTCCTGCTGCTGGAGCACGATTTCTGTTCTCATCCTGAAGCAAAGTTCTTAACCCGAGGTAATATTTCTGGGTTAGCAGAGTCTGTAACCTGAAGCGTATGTAACCTGAAGTGTCTGTAACTCGAGGTACCACTGTAATCATTGGGGAAAGATGCATTCTTATTTGCCTGCACAGGCCTGGCGGAGTAGAAAAATTTTCAGCAACGCATTTAAAAGCTGAAACTTTCGAATTTGTCTCAGCGCTCTGTGATTTTATATGCTTTAGTGGAGATCCCTGCATTGCGGGGGGTTAGACTAGATGACCCCGAGGGAACCCCTTCCAACTCCATGTTTCTATCATCCCTTTTGGAGCTGTCCAAGTTGGTGGCTGTGACCACATGGCGTGGGTGCGAATGCCACTGTGCTGTGCAATGAGGTTGTTTCTTTAGCCTGTCCCGAAAGAGACTTTTTCACCCTTCCTGCCTGATTTATTTTGAAAAAAACACCAAGAACTGCAGCCAAGGATGCCCTGCACTTTTCCTCAGATAAAGAAGTCCAAGGAGAACCGGAAATGAAGTCTCTTGCTTTGGGTTTTTGTTTTTTTAAAAATTCTTGTTTCCTTTCAAGTACCTATCTCTTTGTGGTAAACAAAGGGCATCCACTTCCTGCCCCCTCCCCTCTTGCTCCCCTCTGGAGGGAAACTGGCTTTTGAATATCTTCTTGCTGCAGAGAACAGGCTGCCAAGCCGGGAGAGAAGTGTGCAGCAGTGCCAAGGCTGCGAGGGAGAGGTGAGTGAAAATGGGGCGGGGGGGGCTTAAAAGGGGAGGGGGCAGGAGGAAGCTGCAGTTGGATAGAGAATGCAAAATTGCTGGAAAAACAATGAAACTACTGCTGCAATCCCAGATCCTGGGAGAACAATAGGGCGGCAGCAACAAGATTCAACCTCTCTCCTAATAATAATAATAATAATAATAATAATAATAATAATAGTAATAATTTATTATTTATACCCTGCCCATCTGGCTGTGTTTCCCCAGCCACTCTGGGCGGCTTCCAACAAAGTATTAAAATACAGTGGTCTGTTAAACATTAAAAGCTTCCCAAATCAAACCAATTCCAAACAGCCTGCTAAAGAGCGATGTG